TTTCGTTTCCCAACGCCTCACCACTTATTTCCTCCGCATTCCCATCCTTCCCGCTCGGTGTAACCACAATCGCCATTACCACCACCACTGCGCCTTTTGCCAGCTTTTTCTTGCAGAGCACAACGCCCCCGGCCACTCGCACAGTCGATGGCGTCGCTTCTGGCACGTCGCGCTGCATTTGCACGTCCATCGTCAAGCACCTGCCCCATCCCCGGCCCATGATCCATCCGTCCATTCACGACCCATGGATCGCCGCAGCATTCGGGGAAAAAAGCTGCAAATGCCTGCATGGCCCTGGCAAGCGCCGCACCCAAATCCAAATCCAACCCAAACCCACGCCGCGCCGGGCTCTCCATTGGCACATTGGCACATTGGCAGCGGCATCACAGCCGTTCATGGGTCCCAGGATGAACGATCACCTCCCTTTCAGTCACTCTATTGCTGTCAATTGCTCCTAATTCGTCACCAAGTGGATGCCACTACGCGATTGACACGTAACCTTCCAGTCCGGCCCTGTCCTAATCGCCGCTGGCCCAACGCTGCACCGGCCTGTCTCGCCCTTTTCTTGTATGCGCATTGCAAATTGTTGTTTTCCTCGACTTTTTTTCTGCCCAAGACGTTGGCGCCAAATCGCGATCGTCCACCACACAACACACCACCACGCGATAGCTTCTCTGCGCGATCCATGACGTCAAGCTACAATCACTAGCGCGTGCTATGCACCTCACGGATATCTCAGCTTGCTCTGACGCCATCCGCTGTGCAACATCAAGCCACTGCATCACCAGCCATCAATCAATTTCGATTGCTTGTCAAATTTCCAAGTATTGCGCATCCATGGCCATGGACCTTCTCCCGGCTTCCCAATCAGCCACGGGTCAGTGTCAATAGCAACAGCCAGCCCTGTGCTGATTGACCGGCCCGGACGGTGTCATCCAAGTCAATCCCCATCATTGTCTCCCTTCCGGCCCCCATCCATCCCGCGGCTGAGAATCTGCCGCTCGGAATCCCATGAACGCTCAAGGGTGCCTTGGCAAGCAGAGCACAATTGCTACCATGTTCCCCGGACCAATATCTCCTTTCGGTCATCCGCAGAGATCTAGCCGCAACCCCTGTCCCCGTCGTTGGCCGCCGTATCCTCGCCGCGACTTTCCAGCGAAGCGTCTGATTGGATCGTTTCGTTTCCTATTTCACCATTTTCAGCGCCATGATTAGCGCGTCGTCTGTATTCAATAAGAAATTTCTGCATTGCTGTCATCTACAGCCATGGCAAGTGTTCACATCCACCAAAGAAATACACTGCCTGCGATAGAGGTTTGTCCGTTTGATTTCAAAGTGTTCCAAAAGTTTCTTTGTGTTGCTCCATATTCCCTGTTATCTACTGTATATCAATGTTCCAAAATCTTCAGAAACGGTATACAAGCGGCGCCTCTAAATATCGTCCAACTTGGTCAGGATCCGCTCCAGCAATCCCTTTTTTGGCTCAGGAACTCGAGCCTCGTTTATATCAAAGTGCGTCGAACTGAAGAGATGAGAATCGGGGCATCTATGGGTCTTGCCAAGGTCAAGTTTGGGAAAGGGCATGATACCAGAATAGCCCCACCTCCCCATGTATCGAAACGGCCCAAGCATCTCGTTGAGGGGGCGAAATCTTTCGTCGTGGATGCCCCCAATCGCTACCACCAAGTCCGTGATATGGCCAAACCATGAACTTGGGAAGGCTAGTGCGTCCTCCCACCCCATGACGGCCTTGATCTTGCCATCCCCATCCACAAGGATGTTGCCCTCGTCCAGGTTGAGGTTGTGAACACAGATTTCGTGCGCTTCTTCCTCCCGTATTCTGTCAAAAAAGTCTCGGTAGTTGAAACCTTGCTTTCCTAGTCGGCGTTCGAGCTCAATCTTCAGGGCATATTTATTGTCTTCCTCTCTGTCATGGTATGCGACGGAGAACAGCTCATCAAAGTAGTGTTCGAACGTTCGCAACGGTCCGCGGTTCGTCGCCAGTTTGGACTTCAGCCTGGCGACATCAAACCGCTGGTCCATGAATCTTCCCCTCTTGAAGACCGCATTTACATCACCCCGTTCTATGTCGAGGCCGCCTATGAACTTGCCGAGATCAAGGACGTCACCACACTCGCGGCCTGAGTCAAGGAAGCTATCGTACAGGTCCTGAAGCTCGATGTCAGTTCGTCTCTTCTCCTCGGACCCGTACAGTGGGTACGGCCGGGCCACGGGCTGGAGGCCGTGCAGTCCCGATTGGCAGGTACAGTACTCCTGGTCGATGCACTTGCGCAGCACGAAGCCCTCGACGGGCTCCATCACGAGCCATTCTAGCCGCAGCTCATTCTGCCCCGTGGGGTCGTACACGAACACCCGCGGCACCTTGCCCGTCCGGCGGACCCAGCACATGGCGGCGATCTCGTGGTCCAGCCGCGAGTCGAAGTCTTTCTCCGAGTTCTCCGTCACGTACAGCGGCGCCGAGAAGCGCAGGATGACCTTCTCCGGCACCTCGGCCCGCTCGCCCGGCATGATGTAGAAGCGGACGAGGAAGTAGACGTTCGTGAACCCCGTGCCGAGCAGCTTGACGCTCTTCACGCGGGGGAAGCTGAAGAGCTTCTTAGTGGCGTACCAGTCCAGCATATTCTTGACGTCGCGCGGCCCGGGAACTTTGTCTGGGTTCCAGCGCGCGTAGTACCACCCGCCTACCTCCTTGGGCTTCTGCTCGATGAGGAGGTGGCTCTTCCAGAGGCCCTTCAGGTGCTTGTGCTTGTGGTCCCTGATGTATTTGATGAGGCTTTCCGGGTCGTCTTTCGTGTAGTGGGGGCAGAGGGGGATGCGGACTGGCATTTCGAGACGGGTGTAATATGAGCTGTGAGGGCCAGGGGAGACGTCTGGGAGAGATGTTGGGGCTCGACTGGAGGATGCCATCTTGGTTTTGCGTAGAGGGAGGTTTGAGGATGATGGGGGTGTGGTGGTGTTAGTAAGGATGTTTACTTGTCTGAAGTTCAAAAATTGGTATAGGTGAAATGAGGATGTAGCTTGGCTGTTGGTGTGAGATGCTTGTTTCTGAATGTTTTTGAATGTGAATCATCAACGTTCTGAGCCGCGATTGATATACCGATCTCTGACGAGGTGTCTACGATGTCAAACAATCGCCCTTGTTCTGTGTTTCCTCCCATTGTTTATCTCAGACTCAAAGCGCTGAGTTGACGCTGCGGTAATTCCGTCAATGGAATTGTGTTTCTTCAAATGACAAAGTCAAAGGACAGGCTGTTCAAATTCCTTGCTCTATTAGTAGAGTAGGTAAGTTTCTATGATTACACTACTACAAAGGATTATTCAGCGTTTCTTTTAGGTCGATGATGATGATGATGAGCTTTGACAGACTGGCGAGTACGAGAGAATCTGTGCTCTGTCTGCTGGGGTGTTGGTTCTAGACAAATTAGACAAACCCATGATGCTAGACATCTTACCTGGACGAGATGAAGCTTAGACAGTGATGGGCTCGGCGATGCTCTTGATGATAGGTTCAGGAAGCTTGCTTAGTACGTCAAATCAGAGCCTACACCACGAGGAAAATTCATAGGGGCACTTGAGCCAGTATTCTACTCAGCAAGGAATTGGAAGTGTGCAAGTGTTGATGATATCCCAGCAGGTACCGATAGACTACAGTACAGAGACTTTCTAGTCTTCTCTAGTCCTACCTCTGGTCTCAGGATGGAAACTCATCTTGCGGAATCAAAAAGTAGTTTTTTGGCGTCTTGTCTTACGTGCCTTCATTCTCACAACGAGAGAGAGAGAGAGAGAGAGAGAGAGAGAGAGAGAGATTCCTTTCATGTGGATTCCCGTTGTACACGCAAAGAGCATCCCTGCCTTCTTGTTGCAACATCTTTATCATCCTTATCACTCTGCAGTATGCATGTTCAGCCAGGAGGGTGTTTGAGCAGTGTGATATTTCCATGCCGGCAGCTGCAGTGACCAGGGTCTTTGTGTTGTATCCTCGTATCTCGTATTGTAAGACGGCAATGGTCAAAATCCCATCATACATGATTCTGCTTTTTCGAACTGATCATGTTATTCCGAGTATGAGATTCATTTTCAATACTCCTTCTGTCCCAATCATTGATACTCCTGTTATTGGGCCTATTCTCCCCATTGGCTCGCATTTTTGAAAGTATCCCTCCGGAAAGGAAAACTCGTTTCATCTCTGGCACTTTAACGGAGCTATCCAGTGCTTGCATCTTACTCAAGCACGCCCCTTTGCTCCAATCAAGCTCGTGGGTTACTCCATTGGCAACGGATGAACTGCATGACAATGCCGGCGGCATCGACATGGGTTTTGAAGAGTAGAGACCGTTGGAGGTTCGGTCGAAATAGAAGAAAATGTAAGCTTCTGCCGATCCCTAATAGTGCAGCACACTCCCAGGCGGATGGAATTGTGTAGGTCACGATATTTTCTGATCACCACACGTGCCTTGACCGCGGTGGCATAAGCGTAGAAGGGACGAGCTCAAGATTGCGATCAGTAAGGCGTGCCGTTCATTCAAACACGGAAAGTTTGACCCTCATGGTTAAAAGAAGCCCATTGTCGCGATAAACTTGCCGCACCAGTTGGTTCCGTCGGCAATTTTCTTCTTTCCTGTCGGCAAGCCTTAAACTTTGCCCACTGCTTCCCCCAACTCACTCTCCAACTCTCTCCCTCGTACATTAAGCGCCCGCAATCGCTGCCAGATTGAAGCTTCCAGCCCCCCGGTTTGCTCCATATCTCATCCTACCTTAGACATGCCTCCTTCCGCTGCAACGACAAGAGCAGCGACGAGTCGCATCATCTTTGAGTTTCGTTGAAGCTTCAACAGGCACGCGTCTGTTGCGTGTGATTTTCCTATAAACTTCAGGCCTCGGGCTTTTTTAGCTAGAAATATCGTCCCCCGATGCATCTCTGAACCCTTCGAGAACAAGCAAAAAAGCTCTTCTGCCCGCAAGAGATAGGGAGACATCTCATGGACCCAAACTTTGCATCGCTTGGCAAGAGCACCACCGCCAATGGCGTTCCCTCAGCCCGCCGCAGCAGCGTCATCCAACACGATAACGGCTCCCACAGCAGCAGCGGATCGAGACGGAGCGCCTGCGACCGCTGCCGCGCCCACAAGCTGCGGTGCGTGAGGCCGCCCGGCTGCGACTTCCTCAGCGAGGGAGCCGGGGGAGGCTTGCCGGCCTGCGAGAGGTGCGTCAAGGCCGGCGCGGAGTGTCTGCATACGGTTCGCACGCGACAGGTCTCGATACGGACCAGCGGCTACGAGCGACGAGGGTCCATGGGTTCGGTGTCGCCCCCTATTGTCTATCAGCGGCCCACCGACGATGCCCTCCCCCCCGGACCGGGAGGTAGCCACATGTACCCGGATACCAGCACGCGATCATCATACCGCACCACCCCGATGTCACAATGCCCAGGCGAAGGTCGAGCAACACAGCAGCAGCAGCACGGAAGGCCGAGCCATGGGTCATCACGACGGCAGGACAGCTTCCCTCGCACCATGGCCGCGGACCCATCCGGTGCGGAGCTGTCCGCAATCAGTGGAGGCTTCCCCGGCATGGTCTTTGCGGGCGTCGATGCAGGCGTGAAGTCAAACCCCGGGGGGCGCAACAGCAACATCCCCTTTGGTATCAGCGATCACGACCTTTCTTCATTGAGCCACTGGCCCGAGTGCGACCCTGCCCTGACCAACATCTTTGGCCAAGATCTAAGCGACTTGACTAACACCGCCACCACTACCACGGTCCCGGCGAAGAGCACCAGTGCACCTGTCGTCGAATCAAATGAGAACCCGAAAGCGACTACACGAGGGCCAACCACGACTACTACGAGTGATCGGTGTGAAACCAAAGACGAGTGTCTGCAGCGGCTCACCGAGCTGACATCGCTTCTGCTGAGATGTTTCAGCCTCACGGAAGACCACCCCGTCGAGCTCGAGGATCTGCTCGCCTACTCGCCGGGCGGGAAGACCCGTGCCGCCGCCGAAGCCAATGAGGAAGAGTCCGAAACGGGGAAGAACATGGTCGGCGTGCTATTGGAAAGTTCTCAGGTCTTTCTGGATACCTTAGAGCGTCTCAAGGGACTGCAGACCCCGCCACGGCAAGACAAGCAAAGCGACTGCTCGTCCCCCAGCTCGGAGTACTCCTATGTTGACTCGCCGGAGGAGATGGACGTGTTCTCAAACGACGGGACGGCAAATACGCACGAGTCTCTACCCATGCCCCACAGGCGCCCGGGGGATGAAGATCGGACCGGAGACGGGATGGATGATCTGCTCAAGAGTCCGGGGGCACCTCACTCCCGCAGCCAGGCAGCGACGGCGGCCCCTATGCTGCTCTCATCCCAACACAGCGGCTTCTTCAGCATGCCGACGACCTTCACCATCATCAGCTGCTACATGTGGCTCTTCCGCGGCTACGAGGCCGTCTTTGCCGCCATCCACAACGCCCTCCTAACGCAAAAGTACCAACGGCATCAATGTACACCCGAAAGCAGCAGCAGCAGCAGCAGCAGCACGAACCAGCGACACACCGGCAAGGGCATGGGGCCGGTGATATTGCCCGACATCAACATTGGCGGGTTCGGCCTCAACTGCCACCCGCACCTGCAGATTGAGATGCTCATCCACGTCAGCTGCCAGATGCTGCAGCGGATTGAGGCCGTGCTGGGCATCGACCCCGCATCGCGCGAGAGCACCCTGGCGGATGCGCAGCAGAATGGCGTGCTCAACCTGACGAGCGCACCGACGCTGCTTCACACGTTTCTGCACGGCGCCAACAGGGGTGGCGGCGGGGAGGGGCCCAACTCGGCGCGGCTGTCACTGGTCCGCGGGATTGTGAAGAGCATCCGGCATACTTTACGAGGTGGACGTGGTTAGGGTGGACGTGGCTAGACACCATTTCATGTCAGAGAGGTAGACAAGATTCAGAGCCATGACTTAGATTACAGCAATATGTAGATGGCCTTCATGACATAAATACACTCAAAGCATCAAATCTGGAACTGGTAATATCATTTGATTCTTTGGTAGTTGCCTTAGACATCACTGAGCTAGCTAGTCATTGTGTTCATTAAACACTTAACGACTCAAGGGAGGTTGCGGACATTGTTCGGATGAATGAATACACTCGCGGGCATCCCCGTACAGTTAAGCTACGTCCCTGTCAATAGAAGTAAGCATTTATGACGCAGCCACCACCTCGGATTCTGACACGTGAAATAGGAGGGTGTCGTCTGCATCAGTACGCCCTACCTGGGAATGCGTAACCTGGGTAACACAACGCTACTGACCAATGGGCTGATTTCTTTTTCACAGCTCGCTTCGAGCAACATTTGGGGTTGCCTTTCTTCCCCACAAAACTGCACTGATGGCGTTCCTAAGTTGTCAGTGATCGATGCTGCGGTTCATCAGAGGAGCCGATCGCTTGGGTGCCGTACGATTCGGTGAACCACCCCCACACTCGGATTCGGATGTGGAGACGTCGGTATCGGCATCGGAGGCCGAAACCAACAGGACATGCCTGGCCTGGTTCTTCCAGAACCTTCCGGAACAATTGTGACGCCCGAATCCGCAGCTCCGATGGTCATATTCTAAGGAACTAATCCTATTGTACCGCCGTGGTAATGCCGCTGAGAGGAAATAGACTTGAGCAGGGCCAAAAGGTTGCATTGCGTGCCTGTCCGGAGTAACGTTGCAGCCCCCCTGTGAACTTGGCAGTTGGTCGGTCGGCCAACTCACAGTGAGAAAGCCGGGACAACGTTAATAACATGTCAGGGGCCGTACTTTTTCGGAGAACGAAGAAAGGCTACGCTGCAGGGCATCAACATGAGAGTATCGTAGCTGTAGTCACATGACAGTATTTGCATCATTCAGCTCATCACATAATATGACCAAGGTGGTATGGTTGATGCTGCCAGTACAGACAGGGGTTGGCGGCAGAGGTCTGTCTTAGGGGTGGCTGATCTAGGTAGGAACCTACAGTACTGTGCAATGAGCACCGAACTCCGAAGGCATCAGAGGTCAAGCAAACGATGCGGAGCAACTGTTCTTCTCATCGCATGTATCTGGAGAATCGAAGCGAGAGTATATAAGTCCAAATTCTACAAGCGCCGGCATCCCTTATTAGCTATGCATGTCTCATGTCCCCACGCCTTACACACCTGACAGTGCCTAGTTATTCCACTCACAGGTCACGCAACATCAACAGTCAGAGCTGAATACCTCAACATGGCCAACGTATCTGACTCTTATTCGCCTGCTGGCTCTGAGCCACATAGCTACTGGGCTTCCACCCTAGCAGGTGTTGTTTTCGTGGCATTTCTATTATTTTCGCACAGCTGGTTCAAGCCGAATCCACTTGCCAATGTCCCCATCGTGGGAAAGGGTTCGCGATGGGCCCGCAGAAAGCACTTCATGCAGGGCAACGCGACTCAGATGTTCCTTGATGCTTATCACAACGTCAGTTGTGCCCCGAAAACATCATGTGCCTGGATATCCCTGACGTCTTTTACAGCACAAGGACAGCATCTCTCTGATCACGACTGCCAAGAGTAAGATGGATGAACACCGTGATTAGATGCTTTGTAGCTAATCCACTGTCAAGCTAGAGATTCAATCCTGGTTCCTCCCAAGTATCTGCCAGAGTTGAGTAAAGCGCCCGACGATGTCATCAGTGCCCAAAAGGCGGTTGAAGAGGTTTGTGGAACCGCGCTCACCCTGTCTTTCACTGCCAAGTACTGACCGAGAAAGTTCATCCAATCCAAATACACGACCGTTGGCTTCGAACTACCCGTTTTCGTACACGTATCAAGAGCCAACTTGACCCCCGCGCTAAGTTGGTGAACCCTGGTCTAGTGCAACAACTGGCGAATTAACTCATCTCCATAATAGACGATCTGAACCCCGCCGTTGCCAAGACAATTGCCAAGACATTGCAACGCGAACTGGCGCCAACATCCAGTTGGAGCGAGGTTGCTATCAACGCGAAACTCCTGCGCATTATCGCGATTGCGTCGGGGCACGTTTTCGTTGGCCCTGAGCTTTGCGATAATGAGGCGTACCTCAGCACATCGATCGATTTTACTCAACACCTCATGAAAGCCGTGTATGGCATTGCCATGATACCGACCTTCCTACGGCCTCTCATTGCTCCCTGGCTCCCCATGACGAGGGCGCTGCATAAGCGGCTCGCGGAGGCTGATGCGGTGTTCCAACCCATCGTTACTGCACGGCAGCAGGCGGCAAAGGAGAGCTCATTGAAGCACAATGACATGCTCCAGTGGATGCTCGATTCGCAGACCCGCGTGGGGGAGCTGAGCACCCGAGATCTGGCGCTGGCGCAGATTGGTGCTAGTTTCGCGGCCATTCATACTACCACGATGACAGCAACTAATGCGGTGTACTGGTTGGCGGCGAAGCCCGAACTAGCTCCCATGCTTCTGGAAGAGGTTGAGCAGGTCTTGGAGGAATCCAATGGCCAATTCACAACTGCAGCACTCCAGAATATGAAGAAGATGGACAGCTTTCTCAGGGAGGTCATGAGAGTTACTCCTTTGAGTGCGAGTATGATCAATTCCATCGATTACGGACCGCGCTGTCCAGATGACTGACCACTTCTCCTAAAAATAGGTGCCTACGTACGCAAGGTCCTGAAACCGTTCGAACTCTCCAACGGCCAGGTAATTCCGGAGGGCATGTTCGTGGAGGTCCCAAGCGTCGGCATCAACCAAGACCCTGAGATCTTCCCGAATCCCGACGCATTTGATGCTCTGCGCTTCTACAAACTCCGAAGAGACGACAATCCAGCTCAGCTAAACCAACTCCAGGCGGCTTACGTTGGACCCACGCACCTCAGCTTCAGCTTCGGCAAGCACGCTTGTCCAGGGCGGGTTTTCGCCGTCAACGAGATCAAGACGGTGATGGCTAATCTTCTGCGCACCTATGACATCAAGTTGCCGGACGGTGTGAACGAGAGATATCCCAGCCTTGTATTTGGTGATCAGGCAAGTAGAACCAATCATTTGCTTGAGTGACTAAGAAGATCTAACCACAATCTGGCTTTAGAATGTTCCTGACCCTACGAAGACAATTCTGATGAAGCAACGAGACATGGAAGTCCTTGTGTAGATGATTGGTACTGTAAACGCATGAGTATTGTAGTGTAGTGGTGGGGTGGTTTGCGATCTCGCTTGACTCACGGAGCACAAGGAACGTAGTCCAAACATAAGTACGGCAACGCATTTCCACCCGGGTCTTGAAAGAGTGGAACCGCATGCGCTTCTAAACTACATCGTCTCAATAAGAAGAATACAATCATACTTCCGCTTCCTACAATTTGCCCAGATTGGCGATCCTGCACATTTAGAATACCGGCATGATTTCTCAATACCTGCGATATAGCTCTCGAACCGTATATCTCATTCAGAAGAAGTAAGAAGAATTCTCTGGCAAATACGCTTTACTTTATTTTTGCAACAGGTCGGGCTGTAGATGGAACGCTTCTAATGCAGGTACTGGGACGATCGAAATTTCGAGACCTCCGAGAATTTGCAAACCTCAATTGCTGACAAAAGACTTCCATTGATAGCCTAATTGTTCTCCCTGGGTTCCCAGTATCTCTTCCGTTTCAATCTAGATGGATGCAACTGCGTGAGTGTTTTCTCACATCCCGAAAGTTGTCTGCCCTGCGCTCTTGCGGAAGTCAAAATTTGGCTTTCCCGTTATGTTTGATGGCCCGGCCTACGTTGCACCATCGGAGGGCTCCGACCGTGTTGTCCTCCCAATGGCGAAATTCGCCGACTCTTGGCGCGAGTCGCTCATGTAACCGTATTATAAATCAGGCAGCATTTGGCTTCCAGACCTGCATGATGCATTCGGACACGAATTACCACTCCTGTCAGTGGCACCCACCCAATTGGCAAAGACACGAACCTCTTGCTGAGCTTTAGGCTTTCCAATCGGTGGGAATGGACTACCCTATTGTCGATCGCACCGATTTCGTCCCATCTTAATACGTTGGATATTTTTGCAATAGACAAGGAAGTCGTAGATGTTCCTGGGTGCCCCTCCGGCGTATTGAGTCGCAACGACAGCCTTGGGGGGCATTCAGAGGACTGTCGAGTCAAGACTCTGCCGCACAAGTATCTCTCAGCTAGTCCATAAATGGAGTAAATCGATAAGCCCTGCCATCTGTTTTTCCCTTCCATCGATACACCTCTCTTCCGTTGTGTTCCTATTCTGTTCAACCAGTCTACCTTATCAAAATGTCTCCAGCCGAAGATGGTATCAAGCTGGGAGATCGATCTCCAAATCGAGTCGACTCGAATCCAGATAGTCCTGTGACACTCAACGACAAGACACAGGCAGACGCAGCAGTCGACCCGACGTCCGACGAAAATGCACCCAAATCCGGTGGTCGTGGATGGGCCTTTTGGGCCATTTTCGCCAGCTTGTCCGTCACAGCCCTCTTGAGCTCCATGGAAGGCGGTATTATGTCTACGGCTCTACCTGCGATTTCGCGTGCTGTAGATGCCGAAAGGGACTACATCTGGGTTGTGAACGTTTACTTTCTCACCAGGTAAGTCATGTGGCGTTATATAGAAGCGGCAAGCAAAACAAAAATGGTCTAGCATGGACATCTGTATTACGCGATCTTGACGCTTACCAACGCGTGTGTCCAGTGCGGCTGTTCAACCTCTCTACGGTCAACTAGCAGACATTTGGGGCAGACGGTGGCCAATGTTGGCTTCCGTGGTCATCTTCGCCGCAGGATCGGCTGTCTGTGGTGCCGCCAACAACGCGGCGACACTCATTGGTGGGCGAGCGGTACAAGGACTCGGTGCCGCTGGCATCAACACTCTCGTGGAGATCATCCTTTGCGACCTCTTACCCCTGAGAGAGCGCGGACAATTCATGGGACTCCTCTTCCTATTCATTGTCATTGGCTCTGTGCTGGGACCCTTCCTTGGCGGCATCATCGTCCAACGGACATCCTGGCGATGGGTCTTCTATCTGAACTTGCCAATTTGCGGAGTCTGCCTCGCCCTCCTCTTCTTTTCCCTGAACCTCAAGCACCGCAGCGACGAAGATTCGACACCACTGGAAAAGCTAAAGAGGATTGACGTTGTCGGTCTCCTTCTTCTGTGCGCATCCGTTACGTCACTTCTATATGGTCTTACGTACGGCGGCGGATCAAAGTACGCGTGGTCCCACCCAGTCATTATAATCACACTGGTGCTGGGTGTCATCGGTCACGGCTTATTTATCGGCTTCGAGGCATCGCCTTGGTGTCCTCATCCAGCTTTGCCGATATCACTGTTCCAGAATAGAACGTCTGTGGCCGCCTACGTGGCCGAAGCCGTGCAGATCCTGGTATCATACGGCGCTCTTTACTTCCTCCCGCTCTACTTCCAGTCAACGCTTCTGGTGTATCCCGAAAGATCCGGAATTCTGCTCCTACCGTTCTCGATCTTGTTTTGCATATCTGCTGCTGTCGGTGGTGCTCTAGTCACCAATATGGGCAAATTCCGTATGGTACATATCGGCAGCTTTGCACTGATGACGGTCATGATGGGCGTTTTCACCTTGCTCAACCGTAACACCCACCTCGCTGTAATAGCAATCACGGGGATTATCACGGGTATCAGCGTCGGCCTTCCCAACGCCTCCATCTTGACCGCGGTTCAAGCCGCGCTGCCAGACTCGCTCAACGCGGCCAGCACCAGCGCATTCGCCTTCATCAGAAGTATATCAACTGTCTTCGCTATCACAATCCCGGCTGCCATCTTCAACAGTCGATTTGACGAACTGCTCTCGTCGTCCACCCTGGACAGCAATGCGAGGACAAGCTTGGGCCTTGGCCAGGCATACCAGCAGGCGTCACGAGATTTTGTTCGTTCCTTCCCTGACGTGGTGCAGAACGAAATCATCGGCCTGTACGAGGTGAGCCTACAACGCGTCTGGCAGGTGCTCATCGCGATCGCGGGTCTTGGGGTTATTGCGTCTTTGATAGAGAAAGACCTGGAGTGTCGCACTGAACAAACAACAGAGGAATTTGGTCTGAAAGAGGAAAAGCCGGGCCAGACATCTTCCAATGGTGAGGTATAGACTATCTCGCATGTATGATCAGTCGTTTGAGTTTTCAACCTGGCACTTTCGCATGCCATAAGCATGTGCTAGCGTTTAGAATAGACTTCTGATTGACTTTTAAACTAGTCCAGTGCATGTGTGCGTTGGATCTTAAGTTAAGGTGTGATGGTTGCTTGTGTGAGGGAGGCGCCCTGCCAACCGCATTCCTACCGCTGTAGGTCAACTGTCGCAATGTTAGTGAAGTCTAATCCTTTTCCAGGAGGCGACACATCGACTTTAAGTAAGGTTCATGCCTTTAGCGACAGTCTTAGATATCCATAACTCCCTCATTGAATAACATCGATACTCTCGAAACACAGTGTACCTTTGGCTTAGGCACTTCAAACAGGAGGTACAATCCCTAAGAGATGCTGGGTACGGCTATGATTGATGGCAAACAATCATTTTGGGAAGTTAAGATTTGAGGAGCATATACTACAAAAACACCGGCGGCCTATCGATGCCAAGAGCACGGTCAAGAAATTGCAAACTCCTTTGGCCACACAAAGCCACGGCTCCCATCTTTGCCTGGAGACTCCCCTGGCCCGGACTGGCCGGCACCCACATTTCCTTGTTCTCAAGAGGAACATTGACCAAGCCGTCATAGCATCGCTTGGTATGCTCGTCCACGTCCAAGTACAGCGAGTTACCGCTACCAGATACGAGAACAGGACAGACCACGCGCGTGAGATAGTCGACACCATCCTTCTGTTGTGAGCCAGCCAGCGAAAATTTCTTCATGTGAAGCAGGATATCTGAAGGCGACGAGAGCCCAAAAAAGGTTCCTGCGACGGAGATCTCCCACTTGAGTTGGAAAGAGAAGGTCTTCAGCGTATTCATCAGCGTGTCTATGACGTCCCGGCTCATCCACCCATTCATCCAGGCCGACAAGAACAAGCGAGACACATGCGCGGTGCCAAAGTCCCACATGTCGAAAAATGGGTCCTGAAAAGAGAGAAGGATTGTGTCAGCACGATCGACATGAAAGCCTGGGTCTTCGACGGAACTTACGATTGAGACGCAAGCTTTGACTCTGGGATCAGCCGCAGCGCGAAGTGCATAGTAGCCTCCCATAGACGCCCCAGCGACAGCAATGCTATCAATATCGAGTTCAAGATTGGGATTCTTAGCGGAAAAGTCGACGAGGTGGTCAATAACTCGCTCCGAAACAGTCTCCCAATTTGGTCGCATGACGAGGCCGTGGCGACGAAGCATGATGCCCTGGCCAGGCCCATCAAACGTGAGAACGGCATATCCTTGCCGGTACCCAGAGGAAGGGTACATAAAGAACAGCTCTTCCTGGCAGGAATCTGCTCCTCCAAAGTTCACCAAGATGGGGATCTTTCGGCCAGGGATACGGCAACTCTCAGGCGGCAGATAGAGGTATCCTGGTAGTTGATGGCCCTCATAGGGGATAGAAAGCAGTTGTACCGGGCAGTCCATGAGGTCAATGGCCTTGCGGAAAAGGCTGCCCATCCGCTCCGACACAGACAGCGCACACGGATGCTGAATCATGGCGGTGTCGCCGTTGGCGGGCGGGGACGAAACGTACATGTAGCCGCTGGCACGGGTGTAGTTAGCAGCTCGTAGATATGCCCTTCTAGCGGCATCTTTGTCGCCATGGGCGCAGGCTTCTTTGGCTAAAACCTCTGCTCGCGCCGCCTGTTTCGCCCACGCCTTTTCCCACGATATAGGATCGTTGGCTTTGATTTCACCCACTGCCTCAAGAACTTCGGCCGTTTCAGCACCGCCATAGACGGTGGTGCCGAGAATTCGAACCGTCTCGAAGTCGAAAAACGTGCTACTTGGAAATAGTTTGTGCATTTTTGCAATACTCTGAATTTTGGTTTTTGAGTAGTCTTGATGATGGTGTCTGGTCTAAATCTTTCGCATTAGCTTGAGAGATGGAAAGAACTGCCGCATTGGTATCCTTACCAGTACAAGCGGAAATTGGCTTGTCACAGTCCACCTTGGTTGTGAGAAAGTTGGGCAGAGTAGAGCGTATTGTGTAACCGTTTCTCTTCGTAAAAGAAATTCAGGTTTACGATGCCGCAGAAAATGAACAGTGAGAGCTATGACGAAGAATATACTTTGACGATGTCCCGAGGTGCCCACATTCGGAGTCGGGAATGCTACATTCTTATCTTAGTTCCCGATGCCCAAAGCTTCGACATAGCTCCGAAAATTTGCAGGGGACGACTCCGACTGGGTTCTGGTTCAAAACTTACACGGCACCTTTTGCTACAAGGCACCGTCTGCAGACCCTGGTGGGAATCTTGCGGGGAATGGGGCATTCCAACCGTCGGATTGATGTGCAAGCATGCCACGTTTGAAGCCATTTGAATTGTGACAGGCTGTAGAATGAGGTTTACTCGCCAGTGATCCTTCGCTTAAATATTCACACCTTCGTTATACCTTCGTTGCGGGAGAACACAAGGCGAACTAAGGAAATTTATAATGAATTAGTAAACGGGACTTATTTGGGAACATATGAAGTTGGTAGCGAACACCCTATCGCTTCACAAAACACCCATCCATACCTTCTCGTCGCCTCCCAACGCAGACCTAATGACACAACAACAATTCCACTCTCCTGTTTGGTGGTAAAATAACTATCTTCAACGTCAATTTAACTTTGGGGAAATGAATGTCTACTCGACATAGTTGCTTTGGAAGAGCGGCGAGTTCTTGGGAAATGTTAAGGCCTCGCTCATCGAGACGCCTTCATACTGGTCCATTCCAACATGCCCACCCCTTGCCTTTCCTGAGAAGCCACTGCCACCAACACCTTCGCCAAGAATGTACTCAAATGCCAAATTTGCATGCTCCACGAAGAAGGTGTAGTGGCGTCTGTTGCTCGGAGAAACAAGCTCAAGCTGAAAACCTGTCACCTTATCCTTGAGAGTGCCCGTGACCGCGCCACCATACGTTTTGCTGGCAAGTACGTAATCTTCCGTGTCGGACGGAGTTGGCGACGTCGAACGAAAGACGGGAACACCATCTCTGAACAAAGCCGCAGATTGATGGACGTGGCCCTGGTCCAGGTTTGACTCAAAGCGGAAGAAGCTGAGAACGTAGGGCCCGAGCATTGCTCGCACACCTTGCAGGTTCTTCAAGCACGTAAACCAGCTGAAAGCGGACCAGAACCTCTCATGGCCACCAATGCCGCTCCAAGTCACCCTCTTGCCTTTGATCTCGACATCGAAGTCCAACGTGCCGGCAGGAATTGGTTGCGACCAGTGCAAGTGTCGAACGGGTTCCGTCGTCGCGTTCTCATTTGGCCAGACGTGGCCGTCGGCAGCAATAGGCAATGACTTGGATTTCGTGATGATCGTTCCTTTGACTGTGTCTGAGTGAAGAGTAATGATAGCCTCGCTCATGTCTGAGTTCACGAGGAAAGAGAACTGGTATCCTTCCTTCTCACTGTACCACACCCCCCTGACGCCTTGTGGGCAGGTTTCCATGACAGTTCGCTCGGCGTAGTAGAGCTCGGAAAATCGGGTGCCGTCAGAAAACCCAAACTCAAGCGACAGGCGAAAGTTGCCAGCACCTAGGATCGAATAGTTCGGGTCGCGGTAGAAGCCGAAGATGAACGACTGCATGCCATCCTCAGAGACGCCATCAAAGGCCCACTGCTCACCAGCAGTTGAGTTGAGTGGACGAATCTTGGGCATTTCTATGTTCTCGGTGGCGCCGCTAGCGAAATCAACTAGCTTCCTGCCCTTGGCCATGTCATAGGCCGTCAAATTGCTGATTTGACAGCCCGTCGCCTCGATGTTGTCGGTCAAAGGTACTTGCTGCTCTTGTACGGCAAGACCGGCGAGGTTTGGACTTTTCCAATGCAGAGGCCATGGTTCCAGCCAGACTTTGCTTCCCCAAACAGAGGAAATGAGCAGCGAAACCAGGAGAGTGTTTGCAGCAACCATCATTTCTCCGAGATGGCTGTTCGAAAAGACGCAGATGAGCTGTAAGGCGGAGTGGTCTTGTTGTGAATGTGTCAATGAATGCTGCGAGCTCGGTTAGGTCGTGTGAAGTGGCGAAAGAGCGTATGTGGGAGATTTCGCAGGCATACTTTATGGCTATCTACTCCAAATGCAGTCCCCCATCGGGGCTGGTGCGTCCCAATTGAGTTTTCGATGTCCGAAAGATACAATCGACCTCGGAGCCCAATGGGTGACTAGACAACATATAACCAGGTCCCGTAGATCAGTGTCCGACCGTCCAGCGACACCAACGTCGCTCTACAATTTTGTTCCCTTGTTTACACTTCAACTCACAATGCATATCCCTACCACACGAACTGCTGTCGTCCAAGGCGACGATGGTTGCTTACGGATCGACGAACATGTGCCCATGCCGCAGCCTAAACCCAACGAGCTCTTGGTGCAGGTGAAGGCTGTGGCCATCAACCCGTGCGACCACAAAATGTACGAACGATTCCCTTGCCCCGGCGCAGTTGACGGATGCGATTTTGCTGGAATCGTTGTTGGATTGGGATCCGACGTTACGGCCTTCAAAGTCGGCGACAGGGTGTGCGGAGCTGTCCACGGATCCAATCCGAGTCGGCCGGAGTCCGGGACATTCACCCAGTACACCGTATCCGAGTCCGAGTTTACGCTCAAGCTCCCGCCCAACATGTCATTCCGACAGGCTGTAGGTCTCAGCACGACCGGGCTTAGTACCCTAGGGATGGCAATTTACAAGGGTTTGATGTTGCCGGGGACCCCAATGCAGCCAGCCGAGAAGCCCCGCATGGTGCTGGTTCATGGGGCCAGTTCGTCGGTGGGAACAATGGCCTTGCAGCTCCTTCGCCTGTGAGTTCGTCTCCGAGCGGGGCAGACTCCGCCATTTTTGTGTCGCTTGGCAGGGTACCCTTGATACTAATGACCTTTGAATCCAAATAGAATAGGCCACATTCCCATTGCCACCTGTTCCCCGAGGAATTTCAACCTGGTCAAAAAGTACGGTGCAGAGGAGGT